AGAAGTGCTGGAAATACCAAGTCACTCTTGGACACAAGTACATCCTCCACCGCCCATGTCGGAGAAACACTTGACTTATCGACTAGTTGTATAACGACATATGTCTAAAGTAAAGGGTCAAGTTTTAAGGGTTGATTAATCTCCTCCTCCTACCCCTTCCCTCCTCCTCCTCGAGGGGTATTGCGCTTTGAGTTATAAGATGATCCAACTGAGATGAACGGTACAATTCAATCTTTCCTTAGATATGTGTGTATGTGTGTGTGCACGGATGCGTGCGTGCATGGATACATGCGTGAATGCATGCACACGTGCATGTGTGTGTATTTTTAATTATCAATATTCTTTATTTCTCTTCTTCATATATCCCATCTTTTCTTCTTCATTCTTGTTTTATGTCTCAATTGTTTCTCTTCTCTCTACTGTTCTTCCTTTTTCTCCTCGACCGCGGCCCGCATTTTCCCAAAACTTTCTCTTAATTTTGTACATATTTTCACTATAGATCATCCACAAACAATCTGTATGTGCTTTAGTACATGAGTAAAAATGCGTACATCCGACCTCCCTTTTCCCACCATAGGTGGAGGCCTTTGCGGCACTGAGGTAATGATAATGATGATGAGTTTGGATCATATTTCGGAACCCGGTCAAAAGTTAGGAAGTTTTTAGATATAACCATTTTCAATTCTTTTTTTTTAATCTGGTCAAATGGAGATTGAAAGAACTAAAAAAGATAGACAAAGGGGAAAATTGGAAGGATATACAATAGAAAGAGACATGTAAGATAGGAAGAAAGAAAAAAGACAGTAAGAGAAAAGTCTAGAAGGAAATACAATAGAAAAAAAGATTGAAGCAGATTGAAAATTGTAAATCTCATTACAATGCTTTTATCTTAGCAGCTAGATCCAGATGCAATGATAGAATGTTTATTAAGGCTTGAAAGAGCCGTCTTTATCGAATCACCAAATAAAGTCCTTTTTTTTCTTCGAATCTTGAATGATTCAAGTGACGGTGGTAGAGATTTTCACGTGCCTTAAATGTATATAGGCTAAGATTTTAAAATTGAAACTAAATTTATTTTTTACAGAAAGAGTTAGATGAATATATGTATGTTAATTAGGTGTCAACACAATATATCGATTGAAAAAGAATAACCACATAATCTTAAGTGACCTAACAACAAGATTTTATCTTCTTCACCGGAGGTAATGGGTATTTTTATTATATATTGATGGGTTCGGTTGAATGTTTTATAGTATGATGGCTTAAGTTTTGATTTTGCTCTATTTCAAAGGCTTATTTGACACTTTAATCCTCTACTTAATCCATTAAAAATCAAATATGATGGAATACTAGCAGTGTTTTGGGAATATACCCCCTAATACAAGGTTTGATTATCTAAGTACATAAATAATTGAACACTAGCTTAGGTGCAGTCTTCTTCTAAGCACCATAACTGAACCCCATATTTAATTGATCATTTATGAAGCCGTTGGCAACTTTAATGAATTATATCACTCAAAGCAACATCACTAACCCTTAAAAGGGAATTGAGACTATGTTGCCAATACATGCCGGTAACTTCTTTCAACATTACCAAATTACTAAAACCATACAAATCATAACTCAGTAAAGAAAAGAGTTCATAGCACATTTGGGAAATAAGCATGCAGTAAAGGAAATTATAAGTTTAAACATAGTTATTAATAAATACAACCATCATATATACAGTAAATTGTTTTTTCTAGATTCACGACGCACCCACCACCATATATCATACCCAGCCAACCATGCTATAAAATCAGATTTTGTATGTAGAATTGTTATCTTTGCTAATAATCCACATATAACAAATAAAGGTCGTTAGCAAAAAACCTCCTTGCTGAGTTGCCAAGGTGCAGTGGGCTGTAGCTCAACACCCGCCACTAGTTTTCCTTCTTTGAATCATATGTTTAACGTTCAGGGTGGATAATACTCCAAGATACTGGCACGTCGACAATTCTTCAAAGAGTTTTTTTAAATAAGAGTAAAACGTAGACAAGAACACCATTGATTTGTTTCTAACATAGGACTCATCACTCCAAATTAAGCAAGTTTTATGCTTTAATGGAAACAAATAAGTTGTACTTTGAGAATAAATCACATGTATTCCTATTTGAAGCAGTCCCTCCCCCAATCTCTACTACTTTTTACAACTTAAATTGATTGTGCCTCCCAACCTCTTTTCTTGTTAATAAGCACCTATTCTTGCTTTACTTGACCACAACTACATTACCTTTTTTGCCACATATATTATCATATAGATACTGTAACCATCACTTTCATCCTTCCCGCCAGGCCAACGACAACCTCCTCCTCATAAGTGGTGTTTCTTTTATTGTCCATGAAAGCCTTCCAAAACAAGTCTTTCTTTCCCTCCATTGACCTCTCCCAACCATTTTTCATGCCTTAAAACATACCTCATATGGCTATTTTATGCCGTATCCCATCTCAGTGCCGTACTTATTTTATATAAAAGTATAAAACTATCTACATGCATGTCTAGTCACTCCTAAAATAAATCAAAAAATTTATGAATCTTCCATCTTGAAATTGACCTAGAATCAATCTCTACCTTCGGTGGAAGTTTCATGCATCGTTTCAAAGGCTTCTCATCATTCATCACCATCCCAACCCACAAATAGCCTCTCCACGATCCCAACGTTGTGTTCACACGAAACAAAGCTTTACAGATAAATTAACCAACCCATTCTATATTGTAGTTCTCATGAAGTCCATTGGGATATTATGAGCTGCAAATTCATAACATTTTTAAAGGCAAACTCGTATCCTCAATCTATGAAAAATCACAAGATTGTGTCAAGGATCAAATGGTCCATATAATAAAACTTTGTGAACATAGAATATATGAAAAAATGATCTAAAAACTACCTATATGCTCTTGAAAGAAAAAAATATTCGGAAAGATAGAAATGAAAAAAAAAACATTTTTACACATTCTCTTACACTTTTAGACACTATAAAAAAGTATCTCCCTCTCAAAATTTCTCCTTCTCTCCCATATTTATTCCGACTCTCTGCGGCTCTCTCACCTCTCTACCTTTACTCATTCATGCATCCTATTACCCCTATAATCTTTAGCCATTCTCATCTTCTCTATTGTTCCATTTCAAATATCTTACTTTTTATTTTCAAATGACATGTAAATTAGCCACACATAACAGCAGTATTGATTTATTCGAATATAGACAACTATTGTCCATTTGAGATATTTTTATGAAAGTTCATATTTTATTTACACAACCAAAATTATTGACTTGTACAATTAAAATTAATAATATAATTATTTTCTCTGAACACCTCTGAGCGGCAAAAACTCTTCTATGTGAGCGTCACAAATATCGTTAGCGTCACAAACTAAAAAATGTAACAATATATGTGAGCACATGTAAGGATTGTCTGTGTACAAATAATCACTTTTGTTCAATACATAATTCTGTATGTAAATATATTAGCTCTTTGTGAAAAAAATATTAGCTCTTTGTGACCCATAAACATATACCAAAGTATAAACTTTTTGTACACGACTTAGAAGCTGTTCTCTTCACCTGATCTGAATGTTTCCGATCTGATTTTTAAGTTCTGAACTGTTCCGATCTAAATTTTTCTGATCTGATCTGAATGTTTATGATCTGGTCTGATCTGATCTGAATACTTCTGATCTGATCTGAATCTTTTTTATCTGATCTGATTGGATTATTTCTATAATTTAATTATAATTATAATAATTATAATTATTATTATAATTATAATAATTATAATAATTATTATTATAGTTCTAATTATTATTATTATTATTATTATTATTATTATTATTATTATTATTATTATTATTATTATTATTATTATTATTATTATTATTATTATTATTATTATTATTATTATTATTATTATTATTATTATTATTATTATTATTATTATTATTATTATTATTATTATTATTATTATTATTATTATTATTATTATTATTATTATTATTATTATTATTATTATTATTATTATTATTATTATTATTATTATTATTATTATTATTATTATTATTATTATTATTATTATTATTATTATTATTATTATTATTATTATTATTATTATTATTATTATTATTATTATTATTATTATTATTATTATTATTATTATTATTATTATTATTATTATTATAATTATAATAAATATATTATAATTATAATTATGACTATTATAATTATTATTATAATTATAATAAATATAATTACACTTATGATAATTATTTTTGTGATTATAATTATAATTATAATTATAATTATTATAATGATAATTATAATTTTAATTACAAGTATAACTTAAATAAAATTATAATTATAATCATAATTATAAAAATACTATAATAATTATTATAAATAAAATAATAATAATTATACCTATTACACTAATTATCATTATAGCAATAATTATAATTGCAATCATGATTATATATTTATTTTTATAATTATAATTACTCCTTATAATGATGATGATGATGATGACGAGGATGATTATAATAAAAATAATTGTAATAATAAGAATAATAGTAATATAATAGTAATAATTAATATTATAATAATTATTATACTAAATAAAGTGAAAAATCATGTTTAATCTTTTATGATTCGATCTGAATATTTGTGATCTAATCTGATTTGAATATCTCAAATAAGATTTTCTGATCTCAAATAAGACGAGTAGCAATTTTGATTATTTTATACGAAGTAGTGAGTCACATTTTTTTACGAGGATCGTGAAAAAGTAACAGAGAGTATTCCGTAAAAATTAGTCTGTCAATGGAAAAGACATCCCGATGGAAACCGTTAACCGTTCCAAACGGCGTTAATCGACTGGAACGCCGTGCCAGACACGCCGTTTTCACGTAACGGAGCTTAGATCAGTCCATGGAGTTTAAAGTGTTAGGGAACCTAAAACGCAGAATACACCCTGCCACTCACGAGAACGAAAGGCAAATTCTAGAGAGAAGGAGAGGGAGAGGAAGAAGAAGAAGGAGAAAGGAGAAGGAACCGGGTTAAGGTTAAGCAACTGCTACAATTCTTGTTCGGAAACGGGGTTTGCGTTATTTGTGATTGGGCCTACCAGCAGAAATCCGGAAAAGCCACTGTTTGGATTGGATAACTTCCTCTTTAATTCACGCTTTGAGGATTTCAATTTTCTATCCGAATTCTCCCTTCTGTGTTCGTATCTCACAGGTACTCTGCTTCTGGATCTTCCTTCGCAACCTTTTTGCTCGGAATTCTTCATCCTCTGTTGATAAATCTCATTTCCTTTGAGTTGAATTTCGCACGGGGCAGCTGAATTCTGTCAAGTAGGCGGTAATTCGAACCGGACTTCACAAATTCTCGTCGGACAATTCGCACAGATTTTGATCTCTTAAACAAGGTCCCGAATGCGCCTCGAATCATTAGGGCGGCGGATCTAAGAAGCAGCTGGAGAATTTAATTATCTGATTCGTCAAATTTTGGCAAAATCTTTCGGAGATTCTGTTGAGTTTTGCGATTCCGGCCGCCTTAAAGAGGCTCCGTAGAGGGAGATGGAGTTGCCTCAACCTAGAGCTCTTGGAACAGACGGTAATTTTTCAATGTTTGTTCGCTGGACGGAATTCACAGCGAGTCCGAGATGGATTTCGGTAAAAACGGATTTGAATTGTGTTTTTTACTGTTTCAACAGGCAGAAAGACAACGCATGACTTCCTTTCTCTATATTCACCTATGGAACAGGATCCGAGACCCCGCCAAGGTACTTTTTCCTCCATTATTTATTTATATTTATAGTTAAAAAGCAAATTCAATCGTTTCTTCTTCCTGTTCTTCTGATTTTCCGTGAAATTCCTTATTATGAAATAAATACAAAAAGGAGGAGTGTTTTTGGATGACGGGTTTGCATGAACCTATGATGATAGTAAAAATGTAATTTCTTCAAACATGATTTAATTATTGCAATTTTTTCCTGGGGATTCGCATAGGATGTTGATTGGAGGAATTTCCATAAATAAATACAATTAAAACACTACATGTATAATCTATAGATAATACATTTCAAAGATACAATTATGGAAAGTTTTTGCCATGTGTCATCTTCTAAGCAAACATTCATTATAATATTTTAGATTTTCTTTCTAATTTAGTAAATTAACTATAATCATGTTACGTTAATTTAGATTAGTGTTTAAGATAGATACGAACTAATGTAACGTGAATTTAGAAAACTTCCTAAAGCTATGTAGTTCAAAAAATAAAATCCCACATTTATTTTAAAGTGCTATAACTTTTTTATTTGCACTCTGATGATTACAAAAAATATATCATAATTTATAATTTTTTATTATCTTTCATATGACACCAATATTAAATATATAAAAATAAAAAAATAATTTAGCACTTAATACATATCTGCTTTTAAAGTGTTATATACGGAGTATTTTTTATTTGTACTATGATTGTTACAAAAAATCTATATCTATATCTATAAATAATACTCTGTACATTTGAAAGATGCAATTATGGAAAGTTTTGTCACGCGTCATCTCCTAAGCTTACCTTTAATATTCTAAATTATAAATTAGAATTGTTATGAGTTTGTTATTACGTTAGGAGTATACGAAGTATTCTAGATTTTTTTTTTCCATATGAAGTATTCTAGATTAGAAATTAGAATTGTACTCAACTTAGAAATCTCCAACAAAAAATATCTCTATTTTTTAAATTGATATAACTTTTTGATTTGTAATTTGATTTTTATAAAAAATATCTCAAAAATCATGGTTTTTTTAATCTTGATATGACACCAATATTGCATATGTAAAAATAAAAATAATTTTGAATATACCATAGATGGAGGTTTTTGGCTTAATTTTGTAATATAGATCCAAGCTTTAAAATTAAGATCTCATGATTGTATAGAGTAATTTCATGTTGCATGTAGGGGACAATTTATTTATGGGAATGTTCCCGAAATAGGACTAAAATAGTTCGAAAATTCCAAAATAGAACCGTCATGTTTTTTATTTCGAAAATACAAGTAATTACTACCAATTTTGAAAAATACTGTCATGTTTGAAGTCCGGTACTTCCAAAACGTGACAGTAATTAGTCTTATTTTGGGAATAAAAACATGGGAGTCCTATTTTGGAATTTTCAAACCTTTTTAGTCTTATTTCGGGTAATAGTCTCTTTATTTATTGATTGAAAGTGTCAATAGAATTTGGATCTACTTAAGAAAAATTTGAGCCTCAAATTTTTATACATACAAAAGATAATAATAATTTATAAATTTTGTTATAAAACAACATTAGCCTGCATGATGGCAATTGGTAATTGAAACATTGGGAAGCGACATAAGCAATTAGTTTATTTTACATCAAAATTAAATAAAAATAAATTGCTATAACTTTTTATATTTTTAATTTAATTTTTACAAAAAATGTACCGAAATTCATAGTTTATAATTATCTTTCCTATGACACCAATATTGTATATATAAGTCTAAAATAAATCCAAACATACGATTGATGAATGCATTTTATTTATTTCCTCAAAGTGTCAATAGAAAACGCTTATGATCCACTAAATTTTAGAAATTGAATCCACTTAAGAAAGATTTGGAGCCTAAGAACCTCCATCTATCAGCTATATATTTAGATTGATTTTTATTTTTATATATGCAATATTCGTGTCATACGAAAGATATAACAATTTATGAAATTTGATACATTTTTTTGTAAATCCTTATTATAAATAAAATAAGTTATAACAAATTTAAAAAAAGGGAATTTTTAGCGTCATTTGTGTGTTCTCATTTCCCCTAACTTGCTAGCGTCCTTTGTGTTTTTTTTAAGAGAGAAAGCCATTAACTGAGCATTTTTGTTGATTCTATTTGAGTTGGTTTTAAATTAATATTTTAGAACTTAATGTCCCTTATTGACACTTTCAACCAATAAATAAAATATCCCCTTATTGCAACATGTTAAAAATTATTTTATTTGTACATATACATTATTGGTGTCATATCAAAGATAATAAAAGATCATAGGGGTTAGCTTTAAACAAACTCGCTAAAATGTTATGAGAAACACTTTTAGTAAAAGAAAAAAAGGAAATTTTTTCTTACATGGGTTAGCTTTAGTGAATCTAGGGGCACATAAAGCAATTCCCTAAGTCATCACCAACTTCTCAATGAGATTCTTGAGTTAGAATAAAATTGTCTAGCCTATAGGTATAATAATCATTTCCTTACTTTTAAGCTGCACCCATACAACTTTAATGATATCACTATACTTGAAAACTCAAATCTTCATAATTTATCATATGGATCATACTATATATAAGTCTATAACTTAGAGAGCAGGTTTACACGTAAAACTTTGTCAGTGACATATCAATTGCATAAACATTGCTCATACTCAATTATTTTAAAATGCTGTCATATTTTAATCGATAAATATATGCATTCTTCATATCAAATACTTTCCATGTTCCTTAAAATTCTTCTCACTTACCTTTTTGGAAACTCCCAAAAATTCTTCAAATTTTCTTTTTTGGAAAGCTTTGTGTGCCTAGCATTAATTTATTTTTTTCCTAATCAAACATGCACAACCATACATTTTCACTTTATTCTCACTTTCTTAAAATCCGATCCAAGTCAAATCCAGAAGAATTTCATGACACGGGGTGAGTATCTAAAAATTTGAAACAAATATTACTGACCCCCAAACATGGAATGCCCAAACATTTCTTGCAACATAAATCTTTGATGTTTTCTTAATACAAATTCAGGTATCGACTTTCTCAAAAGGCAACGTGCACCATTGTAGAATTTTCGGATGATATCACATTCTAATAGATCTCAATCTCTCTTGAAGATATAATTGATGTATGTTAAAACAATAGCATTATAACCCGAACTAATGTACTTAAATAATTCTTTCATTTATGTACCGCTGCCATGAAAATCTGAAACCTAAATGTCTTATACGGACCAAAACTACACATAGAACGGATCAAGGAAGATTAGATCAAACCAAGTCAGAATTCGACAGTTTCAAGGTACACATAGAACAAACATGTATTAGATCAGTCAAAGGAATTTGCATTATCAATCAATGTTATAATCGACTAAATAACTGATTTCTGTTAGTTATAATCGACTAAATAAGCAATTTTCGTTAGTTATAATAAACAATACATATGCCGGTGCGCATACCTACATATATAGTAAGACAAAAAAACATTTTATCCCGTGCACGGCACGGGTAAAGATACTAGTATATTTACAAATAAAACAACCCTTATTTTTCTTATGTGTTAATTGTTTTTATTCTGTTTAGATTTACTAAATTCTATTATTAGAAGAAAATAATGCTGTTTTAGATGAGATTGGCGACCCAATTTGTTTTTAAAAATAGTTCATTACTATTTTACCACTGCCTATAAGTTTTATAGTCCCAAATGCGATTTTTTTTGTTTGTTTAAATGGGTTAAAAATTAAATTATTTAAGAGATTTTTTTTGAATGTAAGAGATTATTTATTTATAAATCGTAAATTGCTCTAGCTTTTGTGTATATACGAAGGAAGTATAATCTTATAGAAAGTGCGGAGACGTCCTCAATCACAGAGTATTTTTCCTTATGAACAGATCGGACGCCGAATAGAAAAAGAAATATAATAATCATAAAGAAATAATAATAAATAAATAAATGAGTGATTAGCCACGAGTGTATACATCAAGCGGCGTTTGGTCGCTTATTTAATTTGGGCTGTATCATTTCGTATGATGTTATAAGATTTGTAACTTTAGATAAGGATAATATCTTTGATTAGGTCAACATGTCCCACGAGTGTTTCCTAAATGACCTTTGGATTAGGGGTAGAGGGTAAAATATACTTCCATCATTCTTTTTTAGTTGCAACGGTCAACATTTCACACTTGCCAACACACGTCTTTGATCCTAATTATATCTTAATCTCTATTAGTAAATAATACATAGTAATAAAAAATCAGATTTTGAAAATATGTAATGAGATGAATTGAACAATATTTTTTTTTAAAAATAATTTTTGTAAAATAATACCGTAAAATGTAATCAAAGAAGAACACATGAATAATGTAAAATTCAACATGTTGCGATTAAAAAAATGGAGGATAGTACTACGTATCCTGTAGTCGCACCGTGCGCACGATACATCCGTTTTTTTTGGGTTTTGTCTTCGCTTCGCACCGGACATCTTCTATCTGCTTCGCACGGACTTCTCCAATCTCGCTTGGCTTCTTCGATCTAATTTCGCACTAGGCACACTACTCGTCGCCAACGCTCACCACTCGTCCCCTTCTCCTCCACTTCGCTGCTTATCGCCACCGCTCATCACTTGCCCCCTTCTCCGCCGGCGAATATACCTCTCATCTCTTTTTCTTTATTTCCGGCGTAGTTGCCGACATAGTTTTGCTATTTGAGCTTGTATTTTCAGAGACAATGGGAGTATATTTTGTTGCTGAGTAATTCTTGCTGTTATTGATCTCAAATGAGTTTTATATTAAACTCAAATGAGTATACGCTCAAAATGAATGAGCATACACAAATGAGTTTTTCAATTTTTTGATACTTACTTTGTAAGTTATTTATGCTCATTTGGTACCGCTTTATGCTCATTTTAAAATGTTGCACATTTCAAGCGTATCATACTACATTAAATTCACATATTGAAATTAATTGGAATTGACTATCGACATAATTTAAAAAAAA